TCTCAAGCCAGTTTTAGGAGTACATCAGGAATTCAACAGCTAAGCTCGTACAATTTGGGTTATGCAGATAACTTACATAATTCAAATGAGGTCATGCTTTTTAAAAGGGCATCTTCTGAATCAATAGAAATCAAACCTTTGAGACCTTCCATATCAGTTGAGTGTGATAGGTTTGTTCTAAAATACACAAGGTGGGCCAATGAAGTGGTTCAGCAGGCAGAGGCCAATTCAGCTGTGACCCAGTAGTGCGCAAACACACACACACACACACACACACACACACACACACACACACACACGAGTTCACGTGCACCAAAATAAGAAAAAAATTAAAATATACAAGTTATTGTCAAGCTGGCAGAACCTAAGAATAAGAGAAAATATGGGCTTTAATCATCAATAGAGATTAGTAAAGGTTTAATACGTTGTTTTATAAGCATATATTCTTGTGTTTTGTAGATATAGATAATCATAGAACAAATGGTGATATAGATTGGGCAAGTGATACCTATCCAAAAAGTAATCCCAGACCCTGAGGAGATGGCTCAGGGAGTAAAGTGTTTGCAATGGAATCACTGGGCCTTGAGTTTGTTTCACCTGAATCCATGTAAAAGCTGAATATAGCACCACGTACACACTGGGAAGAGGGGTGAGACAGACAGCTCTCAGGTAGCTTTTGCCTATTTGTTTCAGTCCACAGTAGGACAGCATCATTACTATGAACCAAGATAAATATGACATGCCCCTTTAATAGTTTCTGTAAGATGCTCTGTCACAGCCATAGGGAAATACCTATTTTAATGGTATTGCTGCAGTAGAAAAAACATCAATGGTGACAGATGCATTTGTTGCATCTGAGGGAAGCTGTGAAGAGTAGTCTTGTGTATGCCATAAAGTTCAGGGAGGGTGGTTTTTTTTTGCCTACTGTCTCTGCTCATTATAAAGTGAGATGAAGAAGTCAAGAGGAGAACAAGGAGGAAGCATGTATTAGTCAGTTTTTTACTGCTGTAATGAAATACCTGAGGCAGGTGTCTTTTTTTGGCAGGTGTCTTTAGATATAAAGAAAAACCAGCCAGGAAACTAGGCATCTAAATAGCCTGGCATGGGGTCCAACACTGCAACACTGCCCTTTCCCTGGTCCCAACAACAGCATGGGGGACGATGTGTGGATTTCTTTTTGAGATCTCTTTATAAATCCATCAGAGTTCAAGTACATGGAATTCACCTTAATGACATAGGATCTAATCTAATTGCTTCCCAAAAGTCCTGATTAAACATAATTGGGGTTTTCTACCCTCTTAAAATTATAACATAGAATTTTGGGAATCAAGGCTAGGAGAGATGGCTCAGATGTTAAGAGGTCCTTTTTAGAGAGGACTCGATTGGTTCCCAGCACCCACACTGGGTGGCCCATGACCACATGCAATTCCAACTCCATCGAATCTGATGCCCTCTTCTAGACTGTATTGGCATCTGCATGCTAATTTGCATATATACACACACACAAATTTAAAACATAAGCAAAATTAAAAATTAGCTATAATTTTAAAAGATAATGACAAGGTGGAGAAAATGTACAAAAAAAGCCATCATACTTTGTTGATGGGAAAATAAGTTAGCTCAATTATTTGGAAAATAGATCAATTTTTCAAAATGTCTAACATGAAATTACCCTATAAGCTAGCCATTCTACTTGTAGATATAAAAACAAGAGAAATAGTCTGAACATATAAAATGTATTCACAAACATTCAGAGCCTTGCTCACTATTTGCAACAGCCAGTGTCTCTCAAGGATATGAGTGGGCAATCAATATGTGGTATATTCATGATATGAATATACATGCTGCATGTCAAAGTACATGCTACAACGCAGCTAAACCTTGAAAATAAGCTAAGTGAAAGAAGCCAGATAAAAGGGATTCATGTAATATGATTCCATCTATATTAAATGTTTAGCATGGGAAAATTGAGTAACTAAAAGATTATAAATTGCCAGGGACTGAGAACAATACAAATTAAAAGTGACATTTTTACGATTCTCATGCCTCTCAATGGTACGGTGGTTCTAGTAATCCAATACTCGTTCAGAATTCACAAAATAGGGCTATGCTTTCCAGGTCACTTGGCTTCCATACACACTCACTGTGTCTACGTAGTCTCCTAAAGTTGGGCCGAATTGAAATTTGAACACTAGAGAACTTTTCTGAGAATGAAACATGGGTACCTGAGATCAGCATTTTAGGAGATCTCATAAACATCTCATGGTGGGATCCCACCTGCTGCTTCCAAATCCCTATGTTGCCACATAATTATCTTTGTGGTTTCAGAAGATTTTCTTCAAATCGCTTGCTGTTATGGGTGCTGCAGCAACAATCTCCAATAGTTCTTTCTCTTTCTTCCCCTGTGGGATACCTTAGGACTCCTCTTTTCATTCTGAGGATGAATGCAGGGAGAAAGCATAAGAGTGATAAGTTGTTTTCACTCTCTACCAGCATGAGTTAGAGAGATGGGATATATAGCTTATGAAATGGTGCAAAATTAGCTTCTCAATTGTCCTGCTGATTAAGTATCTACTTATGCAAAATCAAGTCATCACCCACACTGTTGTGCACCTTGCTGGTACACTTGGCTGAGGTTTCCCATTCCTTTGCCTGCCTTCAGGCCATTGTACATTGTGAATTGTTCATTTAAGAAATGGTATCTTTCCATTTAATATGTCAAATCTTAACCACCTCTGCATACCGTCTTTATTAAACCCTCTTCAACTTCCCATCTATTTATTGAGCTAAGAAAACCCTCTCCTGGAACCTCTCTCAACCTTGACGCATGGGGGAGAACCTAGGCCCTGCCCCAGATGAAGTGACAGACTCTGGAGATTCCCCCATGGAGGGCCTCACCCACCCTGGGGAATGGTGTGGGGATTGGGTGGGGGGTTGGGAGAGCTGGTAGAGGGGCAAGGGAGGAGGGGGGGAGAGGGAGCTGGGATCGACATGTGAAGCAAGCATGTTTCTAATTTAAATAAAAAAATATATTGCGGGGAGAGAAAACCCTCTCTTTTTGCTGTCTCCTAGGATAATAACAATGAGGGAGATAAGGGATTCTTCCCCACCTTTGGTTTCCATTGTGTGTGTGAGCCTTATACCTGTCCTATTGTTCTGAAACCATGCTTTCTCTACTTGCAGCACCTATGGTACCTAAAGACCAACTGAACTGAACTGATGAAAATGATTTGTTCCTTGATCATGAGTAGTATATAATGTGGCATAAAATATATCAATATCAAGAACTGGAAAGGTTAGCAAGTAAGAGAACTGGCTGCTCCTTTCAGAGGACCCTGATTTAGTTCCTAGCATCCACATGGTGGCTCACAACCTTCTGTATCTCCAGTCTCAGGGGATCCAATGCTTCCTTGTGGCCTCCGTGGGCATAAAGTGCACATGTAATATACAGACATACATGCAGGCAAAGCACCCATGTACATAATTTTTAAATTAAATACAGAGAGGGGGGTGGCTCAGTCAAAAAAGTGCTTGGCAGGCAAGCATGAAAACATGAGTTAGAGTCTCCTGAACTGCCAGAATGATGTTGCAATTCTGGAATCCCAGAACTGAGCAAGTAGAGGCAGAAGGATCATTAGCATTTGCTGGCCAGCCAGTCTGTCTGAATAAGGTTGAATAAAGACCCTTTTCCCAAAAACTAAGATGGAGAGCAGTAGATGAATACAACAGCTGACTGCTGTTGACCTCTGGCCATCATGTGTGCATACACATACGCATGTACACATACACATGAAAACATACATGCAGTGTATGTGTTTATATACATGCATGTATATGTATTTGTGTAAGATGTGTAAGTAAGTTAATAGTATAGTATAGACAACATCAGGAGATGTCCTCGGGCAACCTAGACTGGGAAATATGAGTTCTAAGGGCCATCAATGTTTTAACCCCTTCTGATGCTGAGATACAGGATGACAAGTAGACAAAAGCCTTAGGAAAGACTTCAAAGATGGCTTTAGAACTTGAATAAAAGTTGTACCATCATGAAACTTTGATGGAATATAAAAGAAAGGAGATGACATAAAAGGTGTGAACATAAGGAAAGTGATAAAAATAGCAGGCACCTATTTGTTGTTTGAAACTGTCAAACAACCCCATAACAGTTCCTCAGGCATCCAACAAACTTTAAACCAGTTTAATGATATCACATGAAACATATGGTTCCATCTAGGGGACCATACATTAGATAGAATTCTATTATAAATAACATTGTAAATGACATTCAGTCTATATAATTAAAATAATTTTATGGTCAGTTAGGTTTGGCAACATATGTGAGGATGGTGTCAAGAATTTTGGTGACAGTATTCACAATACTTACTGAATGCTTCTGTTATAAATATGCAAAATGCAGTGATTTTAACCTGATTTTAAAATAGGAATATTGTACCATTCTAGACTAACAGATTTGGGGTTGTTTGACCTATTACACACACCTTGTATGCTGATCTCTAGACTTCTTGTGTTTCTTTTATTCTTTATGTCCCTGAAGCAAACACGATAAAGAAAGTCGCACAAATGTCATCCTTGGCCATCTTGTGAAGCATAAGTAGAATCTATATGAGCCAGCTTAAAATTTAGTGTCCATTGCATTTGTGGGCACAGATTCATGGGTCTTGGTAATTATTTTGTTAGCTAAAGACTTAATTACCATATCAAGGTTCAATCCACATACTTGAAGTATCTCCTCTCTGTTATCCCTGTTTGTTATAAAGGGGGGAAAACCCCTCATATCCTGGTTTTCACCCTTTGGTGAGTGTCCCAAAAAAGGAACATTTACCCAAAGATGAGACCAATAACAGTAACCCACACCATCCTCACCACAGGATTGAAAGCTCTTAGTGATCATGGCAAAGCTGTCTGCTCTGAGAAATCCTGTTCCTCACAAGAGCAAATTTTCTGGCAAGATAACATTTAGAAGGGATCACAGAAGAATGTGGGGGCAAAAAATGGTTCCTGGGTGTTTATCTCATTTTTATTAACATTCTTTAATTCACCGTAGTCATGTTTTGTGAGCCAGGCTCACTACTGAACTACAGGGAAGATACGAGGATTTCTCTGGAGAGGTTACCTTTAGTCTCATTGTACAAACAGAAGCCGATTGGTAACAGATGTGCTTCCAAGGGTTGGTAGGTGATAAAAGATTAAGGTGAAAAACAAAGTCTCTAAAGCCCCACCAGACACAGATACCCAGATAGCACAGCCTCTGGACTGGCCCAGATTCCTTAGTCTGTTTCCAGAACTTGCTGTTATACAGTCTGCACAGACGGTGGAGTACTTGGACAAGGAAGGGAGGGGAGGAGGCTTGGCAGGGAACCAGCTTGGAGAATGATTCTTCTATGTTTTTTTCTTCCTTTTTCCTTTCTCCTTTCTTTTTCTTTTTCTTTCCCTAAAAGCTGGTTTGAGTAGGAAACAAAAACATCCTTTCCTTTCTCTTATCTCTTTCAGTTGTAGTTCTTGTGGGTTAGCAGTTCTGTATAAACACATGGAGCCCAACGGGGCAGCTTACTGCAGTATGTGTGGCTGGCTTTTGTTGGAGGTCAGAACCACTAGGCTGTGCAGTCGTGAAACACTGTCGCGATGGCTGGCAGATACAATACCCCTGTAGCAGTCAGTGTTTGAAGGCTCACAGAAGCAGCCCATGCACTCTGACGGCAAAGCATGATTACCATTGAACCACGTGAGAGTTCAGTTCCCACCTTCCTCCAGAAGTCTCCAAGCTCTCTATGTCCAAGCTCTCAGGAGATGAAGCAGATATCTGAGCCTGAGGAGAGGTGTGCAGAGACTGGGTGAATATAGAATCTGTTGATAGAACTGAGGAGAACCATTTTATTAGAAAATAATATTAAAACATGTACTGTAGGCTAGGCACAAAGTATCCATTATGGCAGCTCCTTATGTGAGGTCTGTGGAAGCTACTTCCTTCCTAAGATTTATGCTTAACCCTAGCAACAGACAAAGGGATATCTCTCCATCCACTTTTCTGTTGATTACTCTACGTAAATACTTCCTATCCAGTTCTTTATTCTTTCTTGTGGTGATCTAGCGCTCTATAATCCTTCAAGTCTCTTCTTAGTTTCCACATCAGGGCACCAACTGCCCCTTATGACAATCCCATTCCCCTCCCCCATTCCATTTTTATACATATGGTATGCAGCTACATTGCGAAGGGACACAAGCAAGATTCATGTTGATTGAACAATTATTGCTGGCCAACCTTTAAGTGAAGCCAATGCCTATGATTTCTAATAATTATCCTAAAATCCTGCAAGGCCACCGTGAGTAGGACCATTTTAGAGGCATGGTCATTGAGATTTGAAGAACTGAAGCAAGCCATTTGGGCCAAACTCACTGTGACAAAATGAGGAAATAGATTGGTTAACCTGAATCTTCTCCTTTCTGTCCAGTGACCTGCCTGGTATGCCCATGCTCAGCACAGCAATCCCAAGTCTTCTAATACAGAGTAAAGACTAACAGAAAGAATGTAAGGAATGCAGGTGGCCCTCAGAAATGCACATGGGTAGATACCTCTTGTCACCAGCATCCTAAGACTTCCCACTACCTTCAACCTTTGTGTTGAGTCTTGGAACTTTCAAGGCTCTTTCTTGAGCCTAACCAGATTTTTCTGAAAGAGGCTCACAAGGGATTTCTTTTTCCTGAATCTCATAGACAAGAAGATTAAGTCCAAAAGGGAGATGATTTAGCTAAACCAGTAAACAGGCAGGACCGGGGACTGTCTTTTAATTCCATATTCATTTTTTTAATGCATCTAAATCTGCCAAACAGAGAACTGTGGAATATGTTGAGTTCAGGAGAGGCTGGTAAGACCATGTGTTCTACGAGATATACCAACTGTCCACATAATTTCTGATTTTGTCTTCAGAGTGCATGGATCCCCTTTGTTCTTCTCAAAACCTTGATTGATGACCTAGCATGATGCTTTTTGCTCTCATATCTTCACCATGTCGATCACTGCTTAGATCAGTGTTCTCAGACGTTACCCACTGCCCCCATTTTCACCTCCTCCCACTGAGAAAGACTGTCAGACTGTAGACATATTTTTAATCCTCTATTGCCCTGAGATTTCAATATCACATAGATATTGTATAACTGTTGATGGGCTATATGCATATCTATAATTTATATATAAAATTGAAGAAGATTTTTGTTAACCCACTCAAAAAACAGTGTTTGTTCCCTCAATGCAATTTTGCCCCAGTTTGGAAAGTAAAGTGTGGTTCATAACTATGAACTGATTTAAGAGGAATAAAAAAAGAGAATGAGGCGAGACTGATGATTGAAGGAAGCAAAAAGGGAAGGTAAGAGGCAAAAAACAAGAAACAAAATAAGTTAGCAAATACTCAAACACCAGCACTCAAAGGTGTCCTCAATTCCCTAATAGTTAGAACTTTCTCTGGCAGTACTGATTTCTGTGTTGCTAATGTTCTTATGTAAACCTGAAGTAGAACAATTCTTTTAATATTTTTCTCCTTTGAGCAAATCATGAAAATGAAGTGTGGCCTGGGATAGATTCAGACTTCAACATGTACGTGGGACATAGAATGTTCCTCTGGCTAGACGTCTGCCTCTTTGTGAGACTAACTAGATCTCTCAGGGCCTGCCTTTTGGGGAACTCTGATGAATTCACCTCTTTGCCTGCCAGTCAGCAAGTCATAGCATAGGAGAATGCTGGAAATTCCATTCTTCATTGTGCTTTTGCACTCTACACCTAACTACTAAATTGGAGGGCTAGAAGCAAAACTGTAGAATTCACCACTGACACGGAAAGAAAAAAATCTTCACAAATAACACTGTCTAGCTCAAGATATAGGGGGAAATTGGTACCAGAGACCCTGCCTCTTGATGCTCAGCCTCCTTTCTCAGAAGGGTTCTTCACAGATGTACTCTCCACCCTTTGTTCTATTTGCTTGCTACAATCAAATGTGATTTCTTGCATACAAAGGAAAAGCTTCTTAAATACAATGTTTATCTAAAGGTGTGAATTTCTGTTCAGTATCCTGGGGGCCAGTATGGTTTACTATCACCAACATTGAGTAAATGCATATATATTGGATGGTCACCTCAAGCTATTGGCTAGCTTTCCTCTTTTGGAACTGACAGTGGATTACATGTAGCTCAAAGTGGCATTGAGTTTTGTTGTCTCACCAAAAATCTTCATAAACAGTGCTTCTGGAGAAGGTTACTAAGCTTCAGTCTGTGTAACAGTGGGGAGAACCATGCTAAGCCCTTATATGTGTGTACATTTGGGTGCAAACAAGCATTGACATGTTGGCATGTTCTGAGATGGAGTATGCCCACCAGTCCTGCTTGAACACAATGGTAAAGGCAAGGCAATTCCTAGTCAAAGGACTTGAAGGAGTTGATTCTTTCCCTCTACCTTAGGGGTCCTTAAGCTTGAACTCGTGTCCTAAGGCATGCAGGCAGGTTCCTTTACCATCTCAGAAGTCTCACCACCACTTACCTAATTTTCAGACTGCACATGCTAAAAAGCCCTCTGGACAAAAATAAAGCCAGATTGATGGCAGAACTCAGATGAGAAAATGAAGGACCGAACAGTTTCCCTATCCCTCACTAACTAAAATATATATAATAAACACATCCATGGGAGGGATTATCTTTATAAATTAATCTGGAAATATGGAGACATCTTCTGCTCACTCCCACAGTGAGTCCGGCAGAGCTATGCCTCCAGGTTCTTCTGGCTTTGGGCCTCACCTTCACAGGTACAGTCATTTACATGTTAAGTGGTTCTATTTTTCCTTCAACAAATATATGCTTAATCCCTTGTAAAGAAACTACTGCTACCTGGTTGAATGAGCTGAGCAATATAATTTGAAGGTAAAAGGTCTGACTGATGTGTTACACAGAGCAGCTATACTGTCATCCATCTGCTCACCCCCTGCATCATTTGGTCTTTTTTCTACATGTATGATGTTTGAAAGAGGGGAAAGGGTCAGATAAAAATGGCCTGGGTAGTTAGCAGAGCAAGACTGAGTTCCAAGAAGAGACCATTCTTGTTAGAGTAAAAAAGTTTAAAGGGATAAAAAAGCAAAAGAAAAAAACCCAGTCTCAGTTTCTGAAAATAGAGATTTCACTGAAAACACCATTGCGATGGAACAGATACACAAAATCACAGAGCACGTGGTTCTGCAGCTGAGGGACAAATGACAGGAATGCCTGGGCCAGCTGAAGACAGATTGTTGTATTGTTCCATTAATTGTGTGTAACTTGGCTTTTCTAGACCTTTCTGTGACAGACTAATCCAGCTTCCAAATGCTGCTGAGCCTTCTCCCTTTTGTTTGAAGCCGCCCACAATATCTCTGAGCTGGAATTCCTGCCACATAGTTTCATATGTAGAATTTTTAATTGAAGATAGATGTGCTGATGGGAAATGTTTTTAAAAATACATTGTTTTCAAAGAAGATGCTGGCTTAAGAGTGAAAGAAATGCATCTTCACCCTGACCTTTATTTAAGCTCTTAAGAAATGGGCTGAGTGAGCATTCACCTGGGTTGGTTCATATGCACTGAGAAAAGAGTGAACACCTGGACAAGTATATGCCACCCTACTTATTTGTCTGAATGGTCTTTGAATATAAAACTGACTTCTCTAAGTTAGCCCTGTCTCCCAGAACGGGATAGGGGGGGAGATAATATTCTTGTTGAAGTTCCCAGAATCTCTAAGTAGAGTAATCACCTCAATCAAAGTCTTATTAGGATTTTGCCTTCACATTTTTGGAAGAGCCAGTGGCAAAGTTTTTGGTGGCTATGGGTTACCTACAAAGGGAATAATTGGGTGTTATGGGTGTTAGATAGTGTTGGAAACTTGCCATTTCTTTGGGTGTCTTTCTTACCAAACCAGAGGCTTGAGCTTGTCAGGATCAGGGAGGATGGGAGGTGCACACGAAGGCAGAGATGAGACTGTGTACCAGTGTCCAGCTAGAGGGGAAAGATACACATTAAGCAGGGGTACAAGTGTGTCTCCTAGGACCCAGAGAAGAGGGACTATGTAGGCATCTTGCCTCATAATGGCATGATCAATCGGAGAGGAAAAAGGAATTTGTGAAAGAGTAAAGACACTCAACCGAGAAGCAGAAGTTTCAGGAGTCAATGACCTTGTGCCAGCTGCAGGATGGCTTCAGATTTAGTGTTCATGTCTTCGAAACAGGACAGTTCTATTTTAAGACTATTGTGAGAATGAAATCAAATAAAGGAATAAATGAAAGCAAAGCTTGATAGACTAACAAGGATTCAGAAATAAAGTCCAAGCACACCTGTACTTATTAATCCATCAGTTCCACCAGGTGGGCAGCAAGGAGGTCTATGTTTAATGAGTACCCTAACTGGCCCAGCTACTGACTCATTATATCTTCTGCAAAACCTATTGTCCAAGGCATATATCTTGTATATGGCTGAACAACACAGGATATGATCATAAGACTCTCTAAATCAGTTAGTTTAGTTTAGTTTTTGAGACAGTGTTTCTCTGTCTAACAGGCACAGTGGTCCTGTGGTCTTAAACTCACAGAGATCTGCCTGCCTCTGACTCCCCAGTGATGGTGTTAAAGTATTTCCCACCACCTCCTGGCTAAATCTGCGATTCTTAACCTGGGCTGACCTGTGCAATCAATCATCCAGAAAGATTTATAAAAAAACCTCCCCACCCCTCAGATCTGTGAAGTCAAGTATTTTAGGGTTAGACCTAATCATTAGAATTCCCCATAGGTCCCCAGTGGTCCCATACTACTAGGTCGAGAAGTACCATCCTAGCTGAAAGAAAATGGCTTCCTGGCTTCTCATTGAAAGGAAGCAAATAGCCCACTAGGTAGATTAGAAGAAACACAACTAAATGGGATTGAGGAATCAATCTAGCTCAACTGCCAGTGATGATGGCTTTAAAATATAATGCACAGATCTTGATACACTTCTCTTCATCCAAGTTCTTGTATCTCTTTTCTCCATTGTCTTGGCTTTCTTCATGCCTCTCCTCTTCTCCTTCCACTCCATCCCCTGCATTATTATTTTAACAGGAGGCACTCATTTGCTTAATCCAAATGCTAACCACTTATTGTATTATTTTAGAAATCCTAGACAAATATTTTCCTTCTTGCTTTTCCTTCCACTACTATTCCTTAGCTTTCTGTTATTTTACCTAGGTAAATGTCTTGGTCCTGCATCTCAGAACTCATATATGGATTGTTGGGTATCTCCACAAGTCTTTCTGCGTGTTTTATAAATCTATATTCATATATGCCACACATACCTGAACTTTTTCATCTTTCTTTTCTCTGAATTTCCATCTTCCTCCCTGAAGCCCATATCTCTCAGTGAATTTTTCCTCCATCCTTTCTCTTTCATAAGCAGGCATATGAAATTAGAATCAGAATATCTGGGGAATGGGAACTCAGGGAGATTTTAATTTTATGGTTAAATGACACTATCTTGAAAACTGCTTCTGTTTCATGTTTTATTGATGGGATAAATGGTGAAATCAAAGTACAGAATGGAAAGTATCCTCGGGGAATATTGGATAAATCCTTCTAAAATACAGTGTGAATGAGACCCACTGAGGTATGGGCAACCAAAATTTTCATCTTTTCTAGAAAATGAAGAATAGCACCAGGTCTGAAGACCACAACTCTTGACATCTAGATTCTATTTATTTATTTATTTTTGGTATAACTTGATTTGACCTACAAATGTGTTCTCATTAGCCTGAACCACTCTGACCTAAACTATTAATTGAATTCCCTTTTTCCCTCACAATGCCACCCTATTGATGTCAGTCCTGTTCCTGGTCTTCCTAGCCCCACATACATTTGTGAGCAATGTCTGCAGCTCCAGACAACCTGTTTCTAAAATCTGAGGCAATTCCTTTCACTTGTATGACCATGCCACTCACATGAATAGATGCATTTTTTCTCAAAATTGGTGCTCACTCTTGCCTAAAAGACATTGCAGTCTTGAAAGGTATTGGAGAATGTAGAGAAAGGTTGAATGGATATGTTTAGGCCCCAGAACCCCATTGGAAGGAATATCAGACTTTCTCAGTTTCTTCTGTATTAAATGAGCATTTCACCATTAACTTGATGCCTTCCTTACTATGTTTCATAAATGAGGTCTTGCTACAGGAAAAAGTGGGTCAGTTGATGGTTCTGACTAGTTTTGTCTTATTTAATTTAAGGTTTGCCATATGTTCTTTGGAAAGGATGTGCTAACTTTATGTCTTTTGCTGATTAACAACCTGAGGGTTTTTAATTTAGACTTGCAACTCTCTGGTTAAAAGGGGGGTTACTTAAAAGAGAAAAGATATAGGTGAAATAAAAGTTTAGAAAGACCACTCTGTGCAAGCAACTTTTGTACAGGATCTGTCCCAGTATTCTTTCCTACCATGGAGGCAGGTATCTTAGTCCCAGCATTCTTGGTATTTGGGGTCAAATTGTTCTTTCATGTTAAAGATACTCTGTTGTAAGATGTCTAGATGTATCTGTAACCTCTATCCTGCAGATGCCAGTCTGCACACCAGCCAAGTATGGAAATAAAAACACTGTCTACAGACATTAAGTAAATTCCTCTGTGTATGTGTGTGTGAGCATGCGTGCACGCGTGTATGTGTGCGCACATGCATGCACACATGCATGTCTGTCTGTCTCAGTACATGTGTATGTTCATTTGTGAAATAGCAAATTTATTTCTGGTTGAGAAAGGCTAGCTAGCATAAACAATCATGTGATCACCAAATAAGAAATGTGAGGGCATCCCTGAAAGTAACCAATGGAAGCCTAGACCTTATTTTCTCTAACTTGATCCTAATGGTAAGAGATTGGACTGGGTGATTACTGTATATCTCTTCTCTGACATCATGTGAATATCTCCTCTGTTGACAGGGTTCCACACTACTCATCTACCAGTGGTCAGATCTAACAAGGTTGTAGCCAAATTTTCTGTATTTGATTATCACCCCATGACATTCAATAAGAATATTTTTATCCTTCAACGAGCATATATTGGCAAATAGACTCTCTGTACAGTCTAGGCTCTTTGGTGAGTATAAGAGTGCAGAAAACAACTGTTAAAGGAAAAATAGTCCATATAATAAAAAGATCTCCAGAGTGAAAACTAGCATTCCTCACTAACTCAAACCCTTTGTACTTTGTATGAGATTCTCAGCCTCTGTAAGCCTTAGGTTCCTCTTGTAGAGATAAATTTGCCTGCACATTACATATTAAGAGTCTGGTAAAAAGCACCCATGCCAAGAAAACAGTCAATAAATCCTTTTCTTTACATCCCCTTTGCTTCTTTGTTTTAAGCATTAAGGATTTATCAGCCAGAATCTACGCACACACACACACACACACACACACACACACACACACACTCACACACACACACACTACACAGAAACCCTAAGATATTTAGGAATTGTGTCCATCTTGAAGATGATTTTGGGTCCCAGTTAGAAGTTGGGATTTTATCTACTGAATTTCACAGGGGAAAAAAGCAAGCAAATACAAACAAGAACATTTACAAAAATTAAGTGCCCAGAGGTGGTGGTGGTGGTGGTGGTGGTGGTGGTGGTGGTGGTGGTGGTGCACACCTTTAATCCCAAAACTCAGGAGACAGAGACAGGCAGATCTGTGTGAGTTTGAGGCCAGCCTGGTCTACAGAGAGAGTTCTAGGACAGGCTCCAAAGCTACAGAGAAACCTTGTTTTGAAAAAAAAGAGAAAAAATTAAAAATAAGTTTTAAAGTAAGTATATTCCCAAAAGAATGCAGAGTCATTTCTAGCTCTAACCACTAAACAACAGGAATACACCCTGCTGTGGCAAGAGACATCTAGAAAATACTCAGCAGCCAAGTGTGAACCAGTTTAGGAACAGTATTTGAAAAATACTATCCACCATATCAGTCCATTTTACTTTATTTGTATCTCTTTTTATCACATTTTCCCCCAAATAGCAGCTTGATCACAGAAGAAGGAGAGTAATTCGTGGTGTAGAGTAGTTGTGTGATATCGTCATGTGTGTATGTGTGTAGGTTTATGTAGCCTTATATAAAATACTATATATGTGTGTGTACTTCTGTAAGAGAAATGTTTATATAAATATAGATTTATAGACAAATATAGAGACAGAGAGGTATACCCCTCAATTCTTTTTCAATATATTTGTTGAATATATTTAATAGTCATATTCTAACTAGATATACGGAGTTTGATAGTCCATTAATGGCTAATTCAACCAAGCTAACATAGGTACCAATCCAATGAGTTCTTGTCTTCACCATAAAAAAACATCCTGATACTCATTCTCTAAAACAGATACAAACTATTCTGGTCTTCCCATCATTTCCCCCAAGGGGAAGCATCTGATGATTTTTATTTCACCAGGGTCTGTGATCCAGGGGTGCCCAGTGTCAACTTGATTAATTCCAGTTGGAAACACAGGTGTCCCCAAAGCCTGCCAATGATATATGTGCAGTTGTTTAGGAAACTGGGTAGGAATAACAAGTGGTGTTTGCCCCTCTAATCACCTACACATCCTCAGAAATGTATTGTTGGTGTTAAGTCCCACCAAATGTCTGCCTCTCTGAGGGAGGAGCAAAAGTAATGTGCTCTTCTACACTGGGAAGCTTGGGATAATACTTTGAGTATGTGTATTTGTTTAACCTTTCACTTGAATTATGTTTTCTTTGTGATAGAAACTTTGTAGTGTAAAGAATGTGTGGGTTATCATGAGACAGGTGGCCCTACTATGCATACAGACAGAAGCCTGAGAATCAGGAACTGCCTCTCCTCTGTGTATAGATATAAAATGAGTTTCCCTTAACCCACTATTCTGACACAACCTCAAAATCTACTGGGGCTAAGACCAGTATGAGAGAATGCCATTCATTATTTGAAAACACTCTTTTTCCCTCTGTAAATATTTTTAAAGCTTCAATACCATCACTGAACTTTAATCAGCTTGGGAAAACAATGAAAGGCAGGGTTAATTTATCATGATTCCCAGGATGAGACAAGAATCGTGGCCTTGAACTCTTTACAGAGAGCACAAGATGAGATTAGCAGCCTCTTTGGGAAAAAAATAGGGAGAAAAAAAGTACTACACATTTTAAAACCCCTTTTTAAATGTGTAAGCATGTGCTTAGAGGGGTCACAGCAATATTCTTAAAACTTAACGCTTAATTAATTTGAGGAATAAAAGATTACAAGAATCACAAAACCTTAGTTAAAAGTACCATTCTCCTTTATGTTTAGCTTCTCTCTCCTTCTGCCCTTCTCAAAATCCACAGGCACTGAACCAGGTAGGAATATGAGTGAAATCCTTGTATATGGGGGATACACTTGCTTGCCTACAAATATGAACAGTAGAACTTAGCTGGACACACATCATTTGCTCTGCAAATCCCTAATGTCTGATTTTTCTTGTCAAAGATTCTTCGTTTGATTTATAGGGTCTAAAGATATTCTAAATAGATGATATTTTGTCGTGAGAATAGTGAAGCAGCAAAGAATAAAACATCATGTCCTCTTTCACAGCTATACTGAAAAAGAAAAGGAATAGAAAAAACTATAGATTTGAATGCAAATATTTAGGGGGCAGAGGAACACTGCAGTTCTCATGTCTGCCACAAAGGCTTGCTTCTAGAAGTAAGATTCTTACAAGCACACCAACACTATATTGTTCAGTGCATTAAGAAAACAGAACAGCATGTGGTGCTGGATTCCTGTAGTTTCTCTGTGAAGAGATGAAGTTAACAGGAACCTTACTTCAGTGGTCATAGTGCTGTAATTTGAGACAAAAACTAAAGCAAGCATTATGCTTCTGCTAGAGAAAGTGCTATAAGTAAGGTTCAATTGCCAATATCAGGCACATTCTTACTCCTACCCTCTCAGTGTTTGTTAATCTGTTTACAAAAGCAATTCAGCACCCTCATGATTAAACTAAACCCCAAACTCCATCCATAAAGTTACCATACAAAACACCTGTCTTCTAGACATTCACAATCTGAATGAGTGTGAAGAACATGGTTATGTGTCATAAAGTCCTGTTGTTATAGGCAAACCGAGGTGAAGTTTCTTGGTCACATGTGAGCTCGTGGGGTGTGGTGTGGTGGTGGTGTATGTGTGTGTGTGTGTGTGTGTGTGTGTGTGTGTAAAGCTGTCTTCTAAGACTTAATATGTTAAAGATATTTGCAAAACATTCCTCTTGAAGGAGCCTTCTGTAAACCATATTTTTAGGCATTTTGGTTTCTTCAAAGGTAAATGACTAATCTACCACCAATCCTTAGCTTAACTAACCCTTCTGCTAATATTTCTCTGCATTTGAAAAAGTGGGGTTTTCCTCTGTAGTTTAGTAATTGGATTTATTTGCATTTTGAGAAATAGAGTCATGTGTTTGCCACCCACACACACACCATCCTGATTCCTGCTATTTGTACTGATCTCTTGAAAGGAAGGCTGAGGATTTAAAAAAAAGGAAGGAAGGAAGGAAGAAAGAAAGAAAGAAACCATGCTTTAGTATCAGTTAGAAGGATAACATGTGAAACCGGGTCCAGTTGTTATCTGCTCTCCGTGACAGTGTGTTTCAGTCATACATCTGAATACCATACATTGTTAGGTGGTTAAAACATACCACCTATCAACACAATCCTCCCCTTTTGCCCTTCCCAGAACCCACCCAACTGCCACCGCACCCACCTCCTCACTTTTTAATCCAATAAAAAAAAATACAGTGCCAATAAAGGGGCCCTGGAAACCTTTGAGAACTGGGAAGAGGCTGTCAGTCATCTCAAAAATAGAGAAAAAAAAAAAACGGTGGAAAACCAGGGAAAGCACGCACCACATAAAAGGGACATCTGAGAGGAGGCAGCATTCCTGTTCTGTGTTAGCAAATTATTCCCACATATTATGCAAGCAGAGGGCTAAAGAGGGTTATCTCCCACCTTACCAGCAAGGCTGTTCTGACAAGTCAAGACCTGAATTTTCTCACCACAAGTCATTACCCAAGGGGGTTCCTGAGTCAGGGTTTGCTCTCTCTCCACAGTACCTCTTAAGCTGATGCTTGCCGCTATTAACTCCAAAAGAGCCTGTCTTTCAGTATTGAACATTGGGATATTCGTATTCTCTCTCTCTCTCTCTCTCTCTCTCTCTCTCTCTCTCTCTCTCTCTCTCTCTCTCTCTCTCTCTCTGCCTCTCTCTCTCCCCCACCTCATGGGAGAGCATGATAAAGGGCACAAATTACTGCTAATTCTGGTGAGGATAAGCCAGGGGAATTAAGACCAAAAGACCAAATGGCATTTGATGGGAAATCTTGAGCTGATTTTAAAGATGGTCATTTTAAGGGGAAAATGTTTCTTGCTCACAGGACAAACTGTCAGTCTTTTCCTTTTAAAAGCCTTTCTCGATGATCTTGCCAAAATCTCTGATCTCTGCTGTAAAGGCCTAGAAATGATACCCAATTTTCCCTCACCCATCACTTTAAAGTAGCTAGATGTCTTAGCTTGCTCCTCAGACTACGAAGGGTCTTACTGACTTTTTGGACCTTACTACAGAGATGAATTGCAGGGACCACCACAGTGATAAGCTTTTGTCGTTTGCCCTTTTCATCATTTCAAATAGAACCTAAATTTTTTTGCTCCATGATTTCTGGTTTTTTTTCCCACCTGCCACGACCCCTCACTTCCACTCCCACTACATTCCAAGGAAACTTCAACCACTGTTTCTCCAGTAAGACAGGTAGCAGCTCATTTAGGTTCCACCAGTCTGTAGAAACTGTAAATGCTATTTTATTTTAAACGTTTTAGTTTACAAAAAAAAAATCAATGATTTGTACCTTTTAACACTCTCAGATTCCTGAATATGGACAGGTCTTCAAAGGGAGGAAGGAGTTCTCATATGAAATTTAAGACAGACTGTCTTGAAGATTATGGGGTGGGGTTTTTGTTGTGTTTTTTTTTTTGTTTTGTTTTGTTTTTAAGACACATAAAGCTAAAATGTCAAGTCTCTGGGAGAGATCCCCATACAGTTTCAGTCAACACATCAGAGCGCAGAGGAGACCCGTCCTGGTGCCGGCCGGCCAGCCCTGCTGCCCAGGCGTATTTGGTAGCGCATGGGTTGAGAGCCACTGGGAAAATCACACCTCGCATTCCCTCGCGGGCTGCTGGTGACAGGTACATGAACCATACTCGTTGATGATCACCAGGGCCCCCTCGATGTGATTGGGTTTGTAATCAACGTAGTATTCCTGGGCAGACATAGCAGCCATCTGATGCATGGTCTGTTTCTGCTTCTGCTTCCTGCGTTGCGTGACAAAGCACTGTCTGAGCTGCCTGAGGCTGGCTGGAAAACACTTCCAGGATACGTAGAGTACGAGAACCACGATGAGGAAGGAGAAGATGAGAGCCATCGTGCCCGTGACCACCTTGTGGATCTGCACAGCGTTCTCAGCGTGCTCGCCGCCGGGGAGAGCCACAGTGATGGACTCAAGTGTGCCATCGTGCAGCCCCTCCCCGCGGTCCACCACCGTAGTAGCTGAGCTCTCAGGGGGCGCTAGGTCACTGCGGTTAGTGACAGCCGACAGGAGGTGGCCACTGGTGGGCTCGGCTCCATCCTCGCACAAGTGGAAAGCATACACAGCATCCAAGACGTCCTCGCCCTGTGCGTACTCCGGGCTGGCGCACTGTAAGTTAGCATCATAGCGCCCCTGGAAGTTGCTGAGCCAGGAGGCCAGGGCACACACATTGCGCCCGCAGTCCCACAGGTTCCCGGCCAGGGTAATGCTCGTAAGGGACTTCCAGGAGTTGAGGATACGGGGCTCTATATAGGTGAGGCGGTTGGAGTCCAGCTGCAGGGACTGCAGGTACGGCACAGTCTCGAACACGTGGGGCTCCATGTATTCGATCTCGTTCCCAGACAAGTCCATTTTCTCCAAATTCCAAACCCAGTCCAGAGAACTGACCACAATGGCCACTTTATTCCGCCGCAGACAGAGCGAGTGAAGAGAGATGAGGCGCGGGAAATGGGCGAAGTTCACCTTGATCAAGTCGTTATGCTCCAGGTGTAGCTCCGTGAGCTTGAACAAGCCAGCGAAAGAGTTGCGCGCCAGACTCTTGAGCTGATTGTATCCAATGTCGAGAAACTTGAGGCTGCGGCAGTCCTGGAAGATGCGCACCGGCACAAACTGGATGGCATTGGCCCGCATGTGCAGCGTGGTGAGCTTCCGCAGCCCGTGGAAAAGATCTGGGGCCAACGCCTGCAGCTTATTGTAGGACAGGTCCACGCTGCGCAGGTTGGGCATGGGTCGGAAGGTGGTGTTGGCCAGTTGGGTGATCTGGTTGGAACTAAGTGTGAGTTCCTTAACTCGGCGCAGTTTCTGAAAGGCGTCCCCCTGCACCGAGTAGATGTGATTGTGATCCAAATACAGCCACGTGAGCTGCATTAACCCCGTGAACTGGCCGGCGCGCAGCTCCGAGAGACTGTTGTAGCGCAGAGACAAGCCCAGCAGGCCGGACAGGTTGTGGGGCGCCTCGGTCAGGTTGAGCGCCTCGCAGTACAACAGCCGCCCCTCGCACCGACACTGCCCCGGGCATCCGCTGGGGGCGGCGGGCAGCATCTGAAAGCAGGCCCCCAGCAGACACAAGACCACCCCCGAGGGCCTCCTCAGCAGCCAGTGTAGACAGAGGCCGAGTAGCAGGAAATCCATTAGCGAGAATCTTTCCAGAGAGACTGGAGAATGTCCATTGGAAGCGCTGGGTCAGAAATCTATATCATATTTTATTCCGAGGGAGAGGAGAGGGAGGGGGAGGGGGAGGAAGGGACAAAAAAAAAAAAAACAAATCAATATAGAGAAATGCAGAAGGAGCCCCCCTCCCCAGAGCCACATGTTCACCTCTAAGCATGCAGAAAGCCGGGCAGCATACAAAGTTCACAGCCACGGAAAGATCAAAGCCAGGGTTACGCAGTCCATGTTAGATGCGGCAGCAAAGAAAAGGGAGCAAATTTTTTTTTCTTCTGGAAAGAATTTAATTAAAAAAGTGTCTTACCCACCCTTTTCCAGCGAGTGACAACCTCCATTCAGCTGCTCCCTTTGTGTGTAGGCTAATTATATGCAGGGCGAGAGAAGACCCCTCTGTGTTTCCCGAGGCAGCCCTGCTCCGCGGCCCGAGGATCTGGCAGACGCACAATGTCTCACTTTGCTGCTGCGCTCCGGGGCTGCAGGGGCGGTCGGCGAGGCGGGGAGGCGACTTCTAGGACCCGCAAGTTTCCCAACTACGTGCCTGGAGCCCGGGCTTCTCGCCTTCCTGCCTCGGTCCCCCTTTTTTTCCTCTGCAGTTCAGACTGTGACGTGGTGGGGGGGTGAGAGAAAAAATCAACTCCAAACTCGGGGCTGGCGACTCCCCAGGATTTGACAGTCTGGAGAATGTCATCGGCAATGACCACCGCGGATCGCAGCCACCTTGGAGTCCTGGTTGAAGAACGCCTGCCATTCGTGTCCTAGGCAGCTGCGGAAACCTGGCCGGCTCATGGTTTGCGGAGCGCAGAGCAGCGCTCGACTCCTTCCCTCCGCCGAGGAGTGTGCGCGAGCCTGCACCGGCACGGACTGCTCACTGAGTGTCGTAAGCTGCTCGCGATTGTGCGTCTTCTCCGAGCTCCTCCGACACCAGCAGATTGAAAAGGGGTGGGCAGAAAACCAACATTTTTTTTTAACCAAACCGCTAAAGTAATATATGTTCTTTGATGAAATGAAAAACATTCTCAGCTTTTTTTGGGGGGGGGTCTATATTTCAGGGCGGAAAAAAAAGAAGAGGGAATGGGGTATGAAACATCATCACTGACAAGATATATCCAAAAGAGGGACTGACATACTCGGTTCCCCCAAGTCAACCTTTCTTTGGGGATATAGACGCCCCTCCTTAAAAAAAAATCTGCCTACGTGTACCAGATACGTAGGACTCTGTAGAGCAATCAACATTTGTTTCTTTGCTTTCCAAAAAGCAACTTGAGAGGAGGCACAAGACAGCAGTGATTTTGGGGTTTGGCTCTGATAGTCTCCCTCTCCCTCTCCCCTCTCCCTCTCCCTTTCCATCTCCCTCTTCTCTCTCTCCCTCTCCCCTCTCCTTCTCCTTCTCCCTCTCCCTTTCCTTCTCCCTCTTCCTCTCCCTGTTCCTCTCTCTCCCTCTCTCTCTCTCTCTCCCTCTCTCCCCATCTGTCAACACTGGGTGGAGGGAATGGTTTCCAAGCCCACTCTGTTAGAGAACTCATCTGAGTCCTGGCGGTGTGAAAGTGTTGCAGTATGGCAAATTCAGCCTGTGTACAGAGGACTGCTGGAGATCTCCACAGGGGCTTGCCCCGTCTACACCCTGTCCATGGAGCACACTACCTGTAGGGATAAAGGTGCTGTTGTATGGCATGGGAGTGGCATGTGCTGTCCATGGTAATTACATAGAACCCCTGGAGAATGTAGGAGAAAATATGGAGAGAGCAGGTAGTTTAAAAGACAAGGAAGCCTTTTTCGTCATCCCCTCATCTCTAATTCAGCTTTGTGACTGTACAGAATAATGCTACTTTGAATGCCAGCGAAAGCCCCTGCTGGATTTTCTACGCTCAGTCCTTTAGAGACAGGTGTTCATAAAACAAATATGTACCCCTCCAATCACAACTATTATATAAGAAATACATCCTATTGTCACACAGACCTGTGGTTATCTGTCTTGAGAGAGAGAGAGAGAGAGAGAGAGAGAGAGAGAGAGAGAGAGAGAGAGAGAGAAACCACATCTTTAAAGATGACTAAGAGTCTGTGTCAGGAGGAGTCACAGGTTAAGGTGTACTCTTACCCTTACATTGCCATCATTTCTACCTCTAGTGAACTCCAAACAAGTGAGCATTACCTGTCGCTATTACTTTGCTAGGAATGATGGTGGGCTGGGAGAGCTCCCAGGTTAAGTAGATTGGACAAGCCCCTAGCTGACCCTTAACAACAAAGTTGAAAAGACCAACTGATAGAATTAAGGTCACCAAAGGCAGGTGCTACTTTTCAGGAAAAGGCATATGAACAGGGGTATGAATCATTCCATTCTGTATTCCTCTGAGCTATGCCCTGGTCATTCATCTCCAAGATGCATCATTTAATTGAAAAGAACACAAATCAGAAATGTCCTAGACATCACATGCTGTCTTAGGAGCTAGAGGAGACATTAGAAAATCAACCCTCTCTATTTTGCACATGACGGAACTGAGGCCAGAGACATCTGGGGATTATTCAAGGTCGTACACCTTCTTACTGACACAAACAGAGCTTTACTGCTCCTCCTCAGAACTGTGTTCCTCCTTGGCCAGACTGGATGGTCACCTGTCCTCACTCTGCCTCCAACCTAGCTCTGGACTGGGCCTTTGGCACTTCTGAGTTGCTGCAGAACACTTTAACAGACACAGAAACAATTTCATCATCAAGTGGTTTTACCCCTTGCCAAAACAATTATTCCTGACAGCATGCCGACTGATTGAGCCATAAACTCTAAAGTGTTGGAGGAGCAGGGCTGGGCAGGCACAGGCAGGGGTAAACAGTGGCCAGCCATTCAGCAAGCATTGTGAACATAAGGCACCCAATCCCCATGACTGCTAGGAAGAAAATCCTTGTAATGCATGCAGCTTGGCAAAAGGATGAGAGAGGCTGCCAAATGGGCAAGAAGAGGTCCTACTTTGGATGTCACTTGATTTGTAGAGCTGGTACAGAGAGGCAGAGAAGAGTTGAGTGTTGGCAAAAAAGAAGAAGAAGAAAATTAATGCTCTGCGTTTATATGTGAGTTTTCTTGTAAGTATGCCACTCAAAGTATAGGAGATGCTTCTAGGCTGTAATTGAGAATATGTATGTATGTATGTATGTATGTATGTATGTATGTATATAGTTTTTCATGCTATTATGCTGCAAATTATTTTGTCTGCATGGTATCTTTAAGCCCTTCTCACCTCTAATGTGGCAAGTTGCATCTTTTCTATCCTCTAAAATCCTTGGCAGAGCTGTATACATTAACAGATTGAAATGAGCTTTATTGAAATTTAGCTATTCTAAGTCTTCTGAGTTGCAGAATTCCAATTTATTATGTATTTAAAGCATACCAGCACTGATTAAATCAATGTAAATTAGTTTAAATAAGAACAACATGAATCAAGTGTTTCAGCAAAGTTGAGTTGAGAAACGACAACTTTTGAGTCACCACAGCAAGTTGATAGGGCTGTTTTTCACAAATTTTCATTTCATACTTCTAAGTGCCCAGGTTACTGAAATGGAAGAGAAATGTGCTTACCTTCAGTTATTTTTCTGTCTTTTCTCTTTGCCTGTCTGAATCGAAGGCTGAACCCCTCAAATAGCAATGTGATCACCCTGTTCTTGGTCAAGCTCTTTGTTGGAAATAACCACAGATTTGTATTGTCAACCTATTCTTCATTGTCAGATAACTAAAGAGCAGTGTTATGCATACCTTAAAAGCCCTTATGATAGTTGGCATATTTGTGGAGGGTAGGAGATTGAGTTGATACTATTGAAGTCATGTGCCATCAATTATAGAATTTAAATATTCATCAAGCATACGACCTAAAAACAGCATGCCAACATAGGTTTGGGAATGGAGACCTGGCTTTCTAGTCTGGTATCAGAAAGGACAAGTCTTGTAAACATGATTTGCACAGTATGATTCTGATTTTCAAGGCAAATCTGGAACTAAAGAGAGGTAAAAGAGGGACAGCCTAGTGCAGTTGGGGAAGCTAGATATTTAGTCTGTAGGAGGAAGAGGTAGTTGGTCATTCTCTTCTCGACCTTATAAAGTAACCCTTACCTAATAAACCTTCTCATGTTTTCTTGGTACTCCATGTTGTGATGTGGGATGGAGGCACAATAGAATCATTATTGCCACCCATTTCATCTAAACTGAAGGCCACCTTCAGTTTGTTCATTTCAGCCAAATGAGTCTTATGACTGAAGAGATACAAGTAGACAGATTCTCAAATGGGGTTGGGGGTGAGTGGGAAGAGTGGTTAAAGGTAAGCTTGAAGACATAAATTCAGATCCTCAGCACACATGTAAGTATGCTGCAATCCTGTCACTGGCACTGGAGTCACAGGTATCCAGAAAGCTTGTTGTCCGGGCAGTTTAGATTAAACCATGAGGTCAAGTGAGAGGCCTTATCTCAAAGAATAATATAGAGAAGTGATTGAGAAAGATATCTGTATATCCACCTCTGACCTCCCCATACACCAGTGGTGGTGAATACAGACATACACACACACACACATACACACACAGAGAGAGAGAGAGAGAGAGAGAGAGAGAGAGAGAGAGAGAGAGAGAGAGAGAGAGAGAGAGTTTTTATGAAATGAGCCTGTGTTTTGGTTGTCTTTCCTTCAATAGTCTTTGTCAATGTTCAAGGAAAGAGAAATTCAAATAGCGATTTTAATGTTCTGTCATTGCTGGTACCAGCATGGACCTTGATCTTTATGCTGTTGTCTTTAATTTTCAGTAGCAGTGAACCATGGCTTTTCTTTAAAAGGAAACACTTAGAGGAACTGGGGGAGGGTGGGAGTCACAGTTTCAAAAGGAGAGCATTAACCTCTTTGTTCCTCTGGGTATGCACCACACAGATGGCACTTTATGTAGAGTGCCACCACAGATGCCTGTGGAACCCAGGGATGAGGACCCTCAGACTTCTCACAGGAGGTCTACTTAAGAGAAGCAAATTAGAAAGGGGAAGTCCCTTCTGATCAGATCGAATGTCTCTCTTGAAAGGAAGCAGCAATAGTGTAAGAATGAAAAGGTCCCTGTCACGCTCAATGAATGAACTCAATAGCACCTGTAAACTAAGTAAATATGAGTGCTGTGCTATCCTGGGCCTATTTAGGAGTCTATTCTGTGATGGCTTATGCACTGGGTTTTGACATGTTAGGTGGACCTTTTATTTTATTGTCTCTCTGAGTGACTTTCATTCTAACCTCCAATGTGAAGATGAAATGTCTAGGATTACTTAACAGACCTGCATCCTCCCCTATCACATGTGAAGTGCTCCCTCATTCCCCTTTACTAACTGTTTACTTTTACTAATATCTTATTCCTACTCATTCCTTATGAGTGTAGCAACCATATCTAAATTGACCATTTTAGAACTGCACCGATTGTTAAACATCTTGAAGTCAAAATAATAAGTGGCTCAGTTAGGATTCCTGCTCTGCCACTTCTGTTGTTGTTGTGCATTGGTTTAATTCTTTGTTTTTTGAGACACAGTTTGCTTATGTAGCCAGTCTGATCTTGAACTTCTTCTGTAGTTCAGGATGGCCTAAACTCATGACCTCTTACACCTCTCTAGTGCTGGGATTATAGGCATGAGCCACCTGTGGAACTTTGTTTTTTCAGTGTGACTCTACACATGTCGTCCCCATTGTTAGTCAAACAGGTCAAAGTATAGCTACCAAAAACACCAATGACAGTCTATGCTGGAGAGGATGTGGAGAAATGGGAACACTCCTCCATTGCTGTTAGGAGTGCAAACTTGTACAGCCACATTGGAAATTAGTATGGTGGTTTCTCAGAAAAATGGTAATCAAGTTACCTCAAGATCCAGCAATTCTACTCTGTGGAGGCATGTAGCCCTGGTTTCTGTCCCTCAAATCACATAAAGTAGATGTAATGGTAAAGGCACAAAGATCTAGAGTTCAAGGTCACCCTTGGCTATGTATTCAGTTAAGGCCACCTGTGGAATGCAAGAGGGTCTGTCATAAGGAAAGGAGGAGAAATAAAGGAAGGCAAACAAAACTAAAACCTATAAAAACCAAATTTTTGAGAAGCATTATATTGGAGAACTGTCCAACTCTACCCAGAAATGAAAACCCAAGCCTCCTTATTAATTTCCTAGTTTTGCAACTGAGGAATGGAAAGGACAGAATGGTAAGTTGCAATTCAGCTTTGTGAGTTTAGTCAAAAAGAACAAACTGACTCAACTGCATTGTGTCTCTCCTACTAGGTTTTTAAGAGCAT